AACTGGAGGACTCACAAAACTACGTCCTTATATGCAAACGACACACAGGTGACATTGTCACACATGCCTGAGGAAGGTTTTAGGAAAAATTCTTAATGGACTTAACTTATCGGAGATGATGGTTTCAGCATATTGCTCTTCCTGAGGAAGAAGTGTGGCTTGTTGTCTGTGGGGTGTGCAGGGATATGACATGCATTTAAATAAGCTATTTTTAACCACCTGAAATGTTCTAGGAGGAGGCGTATTTGAGTAGTCTTTAAACAGTATTATAGATCATAAGGCAAATCAAAGACATTTATTTTGTGTGCTTGATTTATTCCTGGCTTACAGGGCAATTTCAATTATGTGAAAACTAGTTTAAGAACCTTCAAATGTTAATTGTGGAAGAGTATTCTTAAAGACTCAGAAAAGCAAGCAACTTGTGAGCTCAAGAAAAGTGAACATCTGGAGGGGTAGCATGTGGGAAAATCGTCTTTGTTGCCATTTTGACTTCCTCTCGGTAGGTAAGATTGGTAATTAAGGGAACGTGCTGGCTTACCAGGATAAGACCTACAAAACCTAACGACTAGGAAGTACTTGTGATTTCACTGCAGGCAGTTTTCCTTCCTTGTCCTTAGAAGAAGGAGGAATGACAGTGAGAGCCAATTCTAGTCATGAGCAGACGGAAGAAAGTTCTCCAAGTGTTCTGTTGTTCCCCTCTGAACAGGAGAGAACACTGTGTTTCCGATTTGGCATAAAACGAAGGGACTAAATGGACTGAAGCTGGAGAAATGCCATGCTTGTTTGTGGGTGCTCATGTCAGGGCTGGGACGGCAGAGCCTCCGGCTTTCTACCACACACCCCGGAAAAGGGACGGCAGCCTCAGGGACCCATCTGCCCCAGGGACCCACAGAGCAGTGTTCAGCCTGAGTCTTCCAGAAGGAAGAGGACAATATGTAGGGCCGCCACACTGGCTTCTGCCATTCGTGTGGGCCTGCAGGCCATCCTCACGCTGGCTCTCACCCTCATGAGGTCAGCACAGCCACCTCCACACTGAGCCATTTTCTCAAGGCCCCGTGCTGGTGAGGCAGAGCCATGCCAGGTAGCCAGCTTGTGACTGGCGGTTCCTAAACATGCTGAATGAGTAGACACAGTGAAGGAGGTGGGTGTGAGCGGTGGAGCATAACTTCACCAGCTCAAAGCTTTGTCTGCTGGATGTAATTCCTGCATCCGCCTAGTGAACAGGGCAATAGATTTGCCATACTAAGTCTGAACTTTGCTGTAATTTTGGTGGTGAGAGAGGTAATGTTTAGGAAAAAGAAAACTCACTGTAGAGCTGTCTTTCAAATACATAGCGATACGAATCAGTTCATGACAGACAAATGACAAGAGTGAAATAAGTATTTCCATAGACTAATTTGCACAGCATGAGTTAGGGGGGTTCATTGAAAGGAAAATGAAATGGCAACAAATGAAAGACGCCCATTGTCTCTGTCAGCACCAGTGCTTCTCCTTCTATGACAATTTTCATAAGTGACTAAGAGTTTCCCAGTTTTAAAAAGGTACTTTTTTCTTTTTCTTTTTTTTTTTTTAGAGACAGGGGGTCTTGCTATGTTGCCCAGGTTGGCCTTGAACTCGTGGGCTCAGGTGATCCTCCGGCCTCAGCCTCCCGAGTAGCTGGGACTAACTCCAGGCCCACAGTACCGTTCCCAGCTTAAAAAGGTGCTTTTGCTGCATTCCCTATTATTTTCTTTCAGACCCCCGAGTTCTTCATTTGTAACAATGACAACAGCTACAGTTAAGTAAGGCTTTAGTACTTAAATTACTTCAAATACATAACCTGATTTGATTGCTTGAGAGGTAGGTAAGGCAGATACCAGAAACCCTCACTTTACAGAATTTTTTTTTTTTTTTTTTTTTTGAGACAGAGCGTCTCTCTGTTGCCTAAGCTGGAGTACAGCAGTGTGATCTCGACTCACTGTAATCTCTCCCTCCTAGGTTCAAGCAATTCTCCTGCCTCAGCCTCCTGAGTTGCTGGGATTACAGGTGTGCACCACCACACCTGGCTAATTTTTGTATTTTTAGTAGAGACGGGGTTTTGGTGTGTTGGCCAGGCTGGTCTTGAACTATTGACCTCAGGTGATCCACTCACCTTGGCCTCCCAAAGTGCTGGGATTACAGGCATGAGCCACTGCACCTGACCTGAAATTCTATCTTCTGGTAACATGTCAGGCATTAATTCAAAATATCCTTTGATGAGTGTTCAGATGATCAAATGGAATTATTCTTCTCTCCCTGGGGAGAGGACTCCCAGGTGCTATCCTATAAGGTCCAAAACATGTTAACCGATGCTTTGTGTTTCGCTTTTTTTAACCATGGAGAATGGGGAATTGGGAATTGGATGGACGTTGAAAACAGACTTCTCTCCCAGCAAAACTATATTATTCTGGTTATACATCTTAATATTTCTGCATGTCAATTTCCCATGGAAATCAGGCTCATCACAGGAACCAGCTGTCATCACTTCTATTGCCTTACAAAGCAGAAACAGCTTCTCTGCTGTACTTGACAGTGGTGTAGGAGGTTGCTATCATGTGTTTAGGAAAATACAGTGATAAGAAACTTAAACTTTGTTTCTTCTGGGAAAGTGAAGGATAGAGTGAAGCCCATTTCTACCCGAAGTCTAAGCTTACCAGCAGGTGGTGCTGTGACAAAAGCAATCAAGAGAAACCAAGGCAGGCCGGTAGGGTTTCTGGGCCCCAGAGATTAGCCCTGCTACCTCTCATCAAAGCTAGTATTTGGGAGTGGGAGCGAAGGGCAGGAAGCTTGAGGGCAGTACAGGACAGATGGCATGCAGTACATTCAACACCAGTTTCTAGGGTCCTCAATCCAGGGCTCTTCTGGCAAGGCTCACCAGAGCTCTCTGCTTCTGCTTTCGTTTCTTCCTCTCTCTCCCCGCAAACCCCTTTCCCATTATTTGGAATTCCCAGCAGGAAGCAGAGAAGAGAGTGGGCAGGGATGCCCTTCTCCCTAATACTTATCCTGCAGACACTGTGGCTTCAGAGGTCCTCAAATATTAAGCACTTGGACACTCGGAAAGCACTTTCAGTTGCATAAGCAGCTCTACATATGCTATTAGACGCTATCTTGATAAACAGAAATGCAGAGAAACTCCTCAGAAATAACGGAGGCGGCAAGAGCATGGAGACCTATCAGTGAGTGTGCCACTTTGCTCACTCAACATGTGTGTGACTGATTTACCTTTTCATCTAAATGCCCTACTTACCCCAAGCCTCCGAAGGCAAGTCTCACTCTGTGTCTCCAAGGTACCTTACATGTAAGTTGCACAATGGGACCGAGAGAAACAAACCCAGCAGCAAGCACAGCTGAACTGGAGGACTCAGGAAAAAGGCAATTCCAAGTCTTGAACCCCTTTCTCCCGCATCAGACACTAAAGTTAGGAAATGAGGTGTCCCTGCGTCAGAGCTTGTGGGTCTCAGTGACTGCCCCAGCACAGAGTTGCTGTGGGCCGATTTTAGAATCTGGAAGTGATTGCTGCCTCTGTGGACCATGCTCAGCTTGTTCTGACCACTCTAGAAGTGAGCTGCAGTGGAAGCGATCCACACACATGGCTTGGGTCCGCTCCACCCACAGGGACAAGTGAACCCTGAACTGAGGAAGTCAGAGACCCAGCCCAGACCCGCAGGAACTAAGAGGTTTTGGTGTGAAAGCTTGGAGTTGTTCACATCTGCTTCAAACCAGTGGGGCAGCCTGAGGGAGAAAGCAAGGGGCTGGCAAGTGGAATGGGGCAGGGGTCCCAAGGCGATTTAGCTTCCAGCCTCAGGCAGGGCGCTCTGCCTGTACTGGGGAGTCAGCCCCCTTGGTCCCTCGGTTCCTGACGGGGCTGAGATGAGGCAGTTCTCTTCCATGGCCTTAGTGGTTTCCAAAGAGCACTGTGTGCTAACAGCATGACGTGGAAACAAAGTATGGCCTAAAGAAAGTAAAGCCCACCCAGCAGCCTCCTAAAGGGGACGCAGAGCCCACCACTGCCTACTGGTTAAGAAATACGAAGTGTCCTGTCACTGAACTAGCCAGGTCCCACCCAAGGGTGGACCTGAAGAAGGAAGCCAGATTACATAGGAAGGTGGTTCATGTGAGACGAAGAGCAAGAGTATCTTCCACACACGGACCAAAAGCGTGGGGTGGGGGCGAGGCGAGGGCAGAGGTCAACAGTCTGCAAATGCAGTTGAGAAGCAGCTGGGAAAACACTGCTGCACCTACACGATTCCTGCTAGTGCTGGGGGGGAAGCCGACAGCTCGATTGACCCTGTTCAAGCAGGTAAACCTGCTTATGTGAGCTACAGGCCTCCGGGAAAACTGAAAACAAACTTGGCTTTGTGGGTGAAGTTGTCCAGAGATCTCCTCTATCTATGCAACCTGTCTACTCCCCTTCTCACATCTTCCCTAGTAAGTACCCGAGCTTCTTACTCAAACATCTTACCCTAATAAGAAATAGAAAAGCTGTTAAGAACAGACCTGGCATGGTGGCTCACGCCTGTAATCCCCACATTTTGGGAGGCCAAGGTGGGCAGATCACTTGAGGTTAGGAGTATGAGACCAGCCTGACCTGCATGATGAAATCCTGTCTTTACTAAAAATACAAAAATTAGCTGGTGTCGGGTACCTGTAATCCCAGCTATTCAGGAGGCTGAGGCAGGAGAATCACTTGAACCCGGGAGAAGGAGGTTGCAGTGGGCAGAGATCACACCACATTCCAGCCTGGGCCTCTGTGGTTGGAGTGTGGTAAGAGACAGAGCGAGACTCCATTTACAAAAAGAAAAGAAAAGAAAAACCTGTAAGATCAGCTAATTATATTGCTTGCTATTCAGTTAATTTCATATTTCTTTCAATGTAGGTTAACTTACTGGATGTTTTTCTCTTAAAAAAAAATATATCCCCAATATTCCATCCCTCCTTTTCAAACCCAAGCTGGTGTGACTGTCTTCAAGACACATCTGGCTAGCTTTGTGCAGTAGCAGTATTGTAGTCAACGAGGTTTATCCGAGGCATGATTATCGTTAATTGAAAACTTTTTATAATACCCTGTGACAACTTGCAATATAGTTGTCATTGGCAATTTCTGACAGTCTCTATGGAGACTGACTTAATAAACACATCTGGCTACTGAGACAAAAGCAGACAGGTCCAATAATTGTAAATCTCATATTTATTATAACAAAAATTATGACATGTCCATTTGTGCATTCTGCTTGAGTATAACTCTGGTATGTAAATGGCCTAACGGAGCACTATACAGCCATGCTGATTGTGGCAGCAGTAAGGAACACAGTTAAAAAGTGTCAAAGTGGAGAGGCTGGGGCAGGGAGGAAAATGGGTTCAGGGCCCTTGGGTGCAGGTTCTTGTCCAGTGGCCTAAGATCCACTTCCCCTGGACAGAAACGCTGCAGCTGCTCGGCCTCCTCATTCAGTGAAGTGAGGGTGAGTTGTGAGGCAGGCAGGCTCCCGCAGTGGGGTAGGGGAGAGGAAACATCAGTTACTTGGGCTGTGTCCTTACGCCAAGACTACAAAACATTGTAAGCCTCACTATACAACACTGAGCTATTTACAATAGAAATTCTCAATCAGCTGTTCTCTCAGAGAAAATTAGTGAATCCCAGTGACTTAAGTCACCTGACAGAGTAAAGCAACTCCTAGGAGTTAGTCTCCATATTCTACAAATGTCTATTATTTTCAAGACAAAAAAAAAAAAGCCTTTCCCCCCCAAAGAAATACAGAATTACAATATTATTAAATCATTTAGCAATGGCAGCCTGTCCTGCCTTCCAAACAAAACAAAAAGCCATTTTAAAAAATATTACATTATCATTAACTGTTTCTCTGTAATATATTAAACCTTTTGTTCTTTGTCTTTACATATCTGATATGTTAGGAGAAGTTAACAAATGTAAATCGTATTGGTAAAGCATCACTAGAAGTGGTGATTATTTAAAAAAAAATAACCCAAAGAAAGAGAACCTACAGATGAGCTGCAATGACAGGTTGGGAACGGTGTCTGGGGGAAGGGCGTGGAGTAAAACCCCTGGTTTAATGTGAGCCTGGGAGACTCTCGAAACTCGTCTTTTGTGGTTAGTTTATTTGTTAAATAGCTCGGCTGGGTCATAGTGGCGTGTCGTAATAGTCTGGCAGCTGGTCTAGCTGGTAGTGCCGCGGCAGCTGTGGCTGGAGCGGCGGTGGCGGCGGCGGCGGCTGCTGCTGCTGCTGTTCCTGGTGATGCTTCATGATTTCTTTGACCTCCTCTTCCAGCTCTGGGGGTATGATAAACTGATCATCGGGGTCCGGCTGAGCCGGGGCAGCAAAATAGCCTCCAGGCTTTCGAAGAGGGGCGTCTGCAGCCACCTCTATCACATTGTGGCTCCTTTCCTGGGGTGCAACAGAGCCATTGGCCCTCCGGCGCCCGATGGTCCCAACAGCAGAGAAGTCTGCCTTCCTGGGCAGACCCGGCTCATCCTCGTTGGCGCTGATGACGATGCCCTCGTCGCTGGCTTCAGCCGGCACCTGAAGCAGGTGCTGCTTCTCCTTCTCCTTGGCCCGGCTGCAGTGAATGTCCACCTCTACTTCCACCCGGCTGCCGTTGGTGAAGACGCCCTCGATGGGCTCCTCATCGTCACTGTCAAGGCCGTTGTCAGAGAAGGCGCTAGAGAACGTGGCGCTGGACAGCTGGCGCTGGAAGGAGTTGGACAGACAGACGGGGTGGAGCATGCAGCGCTGCTCACTGGGGTAGGCGGGGCTGTTCTCGCTCAGGGCTCCAGGCGGGGGCTCGTCGGAGGCCGTGGACCCCACCTCGCTGCTCATCTCGGAAGTGGAGAGCTCACTACTGATCTCAGAAGCCATGCCGCTGCTGGAGGACGGCACACCCAGCCCATCTGAGGGCCGATCCTTGATCACCATGTTCACCGAGGAAGGGAAGATGCCGGGGCTGGGCGGTGGCACGGCCCCACCGGCGCTGAGCTCGCAGCAGCAGAAGCTGTCCTCGGTGACGCTGAGCTGCACCACCACAGCGCTGATGCTGTCGTGGCAGCCGTAGCTCTGGGCCAGCGTGCACAGCTTCTTGGCAGCGGCCAGGGCGTCGGGCACGTTGCGCACGGCCTCCACGGCCTCCTCGACAGACAAGCTGTCCCACAACCCTTTACTGCCTAGGATGAAGAACTCATCCTGGGGGGTCAGGAGCACCGACTGCACGTGGGGGCGAGGCACCACGCTGGGGTGGAGGAAGGTGTAGCCCAGGATGCGCGTGGACTCGGTCACTCCGTTCACCTTGCCATCCTGGAAGAACAAGGGTTTGCAGACAGTTAATACGGAGCACCTGCAGCAACTGTGCAGGTTCCCTGCAGGTCCCCGACTGTCAGACCACAGAGAAGTGCTGTGTGGCCTACGGAGGAAAGTGAGTAGTTAATGTGCACCTGTCATCAGAAACCCCAGGTAGTAGGCCTAGGCAGGTAAGAGGCAGTAGGGACAAAAGGAAAAGATTTCGGTTATGTGTTCCTGGAACCCTGTTGGCACTAGGTCCACAAGCCCCACTGTTTCTCTACAGCAAGCATGGCTGGCTAGCTCCTCCTGTAAGCCCACAGGACTCTGAGATAGGAAGAGCCTTTCTAATAGAAGCCAGTCCTGAGCAAAGACTCACGAGGCTGGCATACATCCAGACAGTGCCCCCAAATCTCCATTGCTCTCCATGATCACAAGTGGCAGTAGCATCTGAAGGTCCAGAGGGGACTTGAAAGTACTTAAGGGGTGGAGACAGCCTTGGTGTGACTAGGTGGGTAAGAATGCTCACGTCAGGAGAACAGATGCTAAAGGACATGCCAGTTCTTACAACTTCCTTGAACTTGATTTCCTGATGGTCCATGGAGAAGGCAGGGTCTACTAGCTTTAGTTTAGCTGGGTGCATGCTATGAAATCAGTTACCAAAGCGCCAGACCTGGTTCCTTCCTTCCCTCCCTTTCCTTCCTTCCTTCTTTCTCCTTCCTTCTTTTCCTCCCTCCCTTTCCCATGTGTACCCGCTGATTATTCTTCAAGTTTTGAGATTCTCAGGTCCGTGACATACCTCTATATGGCCTAGTTTTAACACCTCTTTCCAGGAAAGGCTCCATTATGACAAATCCCTGTCTGGGATGACCAAGTGTTTCTTCCAGAGAACATCCACTTCCTTTCCAGCCCTACCACCTTCCTTTATTTGGGATTTGGCAAGGTGTTTGCTTGTCCAGAGGGATGCCTTTCCCAGCTCCTCACACAACTTCGCCACCCCACACTTTTAAGTAGGTAAGCATTCCCATTTGTAAAATTAGTAGTATGAGCTTTGAGACAACTTTAAACTGCCTTGATTCTACTGACATAATCTGTCCCCAAAGCACGGAATTTCGCAGAAATTGTTCTTGCCATCCTGCCCAAGCCTTTAGATTTCTCTCCATCAAAACCAATAGTTTTGTGACTCATGACAGTGAAGCTTCCAACATGAGATCCAGGAGTGCTGCTGCATTTCCTAATTCATCAAAGTGTCGGTCATTTGCCCTGTGCCTGAAGAAAATGATGTGGGCAGACAGCAGTGACCTACAGATACACCTTCAAGAACTTTCCAGTCTTACATTGTTGATAAAACCCATAGAATCATGTACAGTTTGACTCTGGTGAAAGTTTATGGTCCAGTAGAGAAAAAAGACTGATTCCACACAGGCTCTGATGAGCGCCGTAAGAAAGAAACAGACTCAAGCTATACATCGGATTCTGTGCAAATGAGTGTGTGTGAATCTGTTCTATTCTTGGAGCAGAAAGGATTAACACGGACGGCAGACAGTGTTAGGGAGCAGAAAACGATGCACTGAATTAAACTTCACATTAACATTATGCCAAACACAGTTAAGGAAAATGATTTCTGTGACCTAAATGAATCACAGTTTGCACGTCAGACTTCTCTTGTTTTCTGCGCCTCTCCTGTTCCTCGCTTTTGTCTGCATTGCTTAACACTTCACAGTGAGGTTTTGTTTTGTATTGTGTTTTACCTCTCTACCTGAGACACGCCCTCCAAACACACATCCCCCCATCCGCTGTGGGGACTGCCCTGCGGGTGTTTAGCCACAGGTGCTCAGTGGCCTCCATCCGCAGCATGCCAAGCGCACTCTCTGCCCCAGCTGTGATGACCAAAATGTCTCCCTATGTTGACAAATGTCTTGTGGGGAAGCAAACTTCCCCCAGTTGAGAACTGCTCACTGTAGTTACATAGACATTCACAGTTTACAAGTCATAGCAGCCTTGTCAGATAGGATAGATATATGAGGCTTAGAGAGGTTTAAAGGTCATAGCCTGCAAGTGCAGAGCTACGATATGAAAACGAGCAGTGTGAGGTCGGGTACAGCCCTCAACCACTGAAGCAGCCCTTTGCAGAGTGGCTGCACGGATGGAACGGGGTCGTGCCCGTGAGGCACAGTGCCTGACCCAGGGAGGCAACTGAGAACCAGATGTCGTAACGTAAGCAATTCGCTTTGTGATACTATGGATTTGGAATTCTAATGTCGAATCTACTTCAAAAATGTTCTTTGAAGGCAAATGCTCCTTAGCTAGTTTCTGCTATGACCTGGTCTCCTCTCCTCTCCACCATTCTGGGGAAAAGCCCTCCCTCCTCACCTCAGTGATAATGGCCTTGTGCTGTTTAATCCTCTTTAGCTCTTCTTCACAGCTCATGACGTAAGATCTGGACAGAGGCAGTGGCTTTCCATTCCGACAGAGAACTGTTTGGCACTTGCCCACATTAGCAGAGATCAAGGTGAAGGATCCTCCTGGGTCCACAGGGTCATGTTTGATATGACAAAGGACAGCAGCACCGCCAAGCTTCTGCCCAGCAGTTCCAAGTTTCCTGGAATCAGAAGAGAGGGGGTGACAACCACAGCCCACGGGTGCCAGTTCTGCCAATTCCACAGGAAGACTGCACCACTGGACAGGGCCAGGAAGGAGACAGCTGGGGATTCCACTCCGCCTCCTTCGTCAAAGCACACACTGCTTAGCCTCTCTGAGGAAAAGAGCCCCTGAATCTGACATCACACACATCCACACACAGACCCTCACAACTGGGAGATGGTGTCGCTGTA